CCACAAATTCTTTATCCAATCATCTGTCAGTGAACATTTTGGTTGTTTCAGTGTCTTGGCTATTGTAAATAGTGCTGCTGTGAAAATTGGGGTGCATGTGTCTTTTTGAATTATATTTTTCTCCAGACATATACACATGAATGGGATTGCTGCATCACACGGAAGTCTATTTTCAGTTTTTTATGGAACCTCTATACTGTCCTCCATAGTGGCTGCACCAATTTACATTCCCTAAAACCGAGTAGGAGGGTTCCTTTTTCTCTTAAAAGGTCAAAAATTCTCTACATTTATATACTTTCCTTACAGTTTATGACACAATTTGGCAAAAGCCAGATAGAATTTAATAGGAGTAAATACAGTATTTTTTTAAATGTCCATGCATTATGGATAGATAGGTTATTGATGAGTTAGTTCCCTAATTTTGTAGATGCAGAAGTTTTTATAGCTTCACAGACATATCAGTCTTGCAGAGAGAAAAATTTCTTTGCATTTTGCTGAACTTGTCCGGGTGGCTTTATCGAATTTGGTCCAGGCCTCCAGAGGTGAATACACATCCAAACCTGAACCATTTGAATGTGTGCAAGATTTTACGAGTCTAGAATGTCAGATCTGGATTATAACTCTGGTAAATGACATCAGTGTGTGGTCTCAAGAAAACTCCATTTGAGTGCAAAACTTTTCATAAGCCAAAAAAGGCTTTGAAATTGTGGCAAAGCCAGAGACTTTTGTGTGCCATATATGGCCACAAACCCATGGGGACAACCACAGGCCTTCTGGATTGCCAAGGGAAATCCATGTGAGGAGTCCAGCACTCACGGGAATCTAACAAGTCCCTGCCAGCCAGAGCACTTTCATTGCTACTGTGCTCTTTTGAGCAAATGTCTTTTCATCAGGTTCAAATTGGTTTGTTGTTACTTTTTGCATAAAAAAAATCAAACAACTTCTTGTTCCCTTGGTGAAAGTAAAAGCCTAACATTTTCTGATTTCTTTTGACAGAGAAAACATGAGCGTATGAATCTAACCTCATCTGTGATGGTCTGCAGCTGGGAGCAACCAGATCGGTGTCAGTTCTTTTTCAGCCATTGGCTGGGAGCCTGCATGATACCTGGAATGATATTTGAAACATGTCACACTAGCCGTGCCTTCTCTGTGGGCTGGGAGTTGAGTCAGTCAGAATCTGCATTATGGAATGTATGTTTCAGATCCAAAGCTAGGAGATCTTTTTTAATAGCCAGAGAATGTAGTCATAAATATATCTATTATTGTATTTATGCAAGAACATTTTTAAAATTTTTTATTATAAAAATTTACCCCCAAAAATTGAAAATGAAAGAACAGTGGAATTCAAAATCATCTGTACCTTAATTATACACAAAGGATCTTAAAATCCTTCTAAACATTTTTTTGTTCAAATGAAGATATTTTTCCCTTCCAAAAAGGAACGTTATTATTTCACATAATTTTTGCTTTCTTCTTTTATTATGTATTCCATATCAATAAATATAATTCTTTTAAATCCCTTTTAATGGCTGTTTAACACTATATTGAACAGATATGTAAATAGTCCTAGGTTTCAGAAATTAAAAAAATTGTCATTACAATACCACTGCAAAGAATATTTTGGTGTTTCTATTTTTAGTTACTAATTTGGATCAAAAATTAACAAGTTTGCTTTTCTTCATCTAAAACATTGGTTATTTTATGAATGAA